TTACGAGACTTAACAAAATTCATCACTGAGAACAAAGATTCACAAGCGTATGTGGATGAAACCAAAACACTGTTCGGATCTAGGAAGGCAGGGAGAGTTAAGGCAGAGGCATAGAAATTGCTCTTCCCCTCTCTCGTCAATCCATGTCTATGGTCTTTATAATAACTTGTTATGTAAAATTATTTATTTATCTAAGATGCACCTACATTGAATTTATCTGAAATATATAAAAATAGATATTAAAAAAATTATTTATTTATCTAAGATGCACCTACATTGAATTTATCTGAAATATAGAAAAGTCGATATTAAGAAAAAAATTGTAAATGGAAGATTATAAGAGAGGGTTTCGCCTGCCAGTAAAAGTTACTGGCGTGCCATATTTGGCACATGTGCCAGGGGTTGCCTACCCCTGGTCTAGGGGAAGGATCATTCAGGAGTCCTGAGGAAAAATAATAGTGGTTCTTTTATGGATGTGAGGTTGGGCGATGGAAGCCTTAGGAGATACGATGTGCTTTTGTGGGGCCCACGGACAAAACTTGGCCAAGGCCCTAATGCTGGGTGATACTATAACTGTGATTAGAAATTCAGGTATACCCTCCTCTTGCTTTTTGCTGCCTTGACTTAGACAATTTTTTCCCCCCAAATGAATCAGTATTTTAAATGAATTGAGCATAAATATTCTTGAATCATTTGCTGATGATTTGGAAGGAATTAGAGAATTAGAATCATTAAAAAATACATAGGTTGTCCCCAAAAAATGTATGCACACTTTGAATAATTATTAATTCCAATGGGTTAAATCTGAAAAGGAAGAAACATCCATTGAACTATCAGCTCTTAAAGTATGTATACATTTTGTGTACTTAAAGGGTTCCCTCAACTTTCCATCATCTTATAATTTTTTTCCAGTGGTAGCTACAGGGCCAGTACCCATGTTTCAGCGTCAGACAATCTGCAATCCAGCTTTATGAAAACTGTCTTGACTATGTACATATATACATGTCTCTGGGGATCTCTGCATGAGGTCTTTCACCTACAAGAGATTTAGGATCTACATGTTTTCAGTCTAGAGTACACAGACACACATTCGACATAGTCTTCATTTTTTTTTTACATATTTTTATTGATTTCAGAGAGGAAGGGGAAGAAAGAGATAGAAATATCAATAATGAGAGAGAACCGTCAATCAGCTGCCTCCTGCACACCCCACACTGGGGATGGAGCCTGCAACCTGGGCATATGCCCTGTCCGGGAATCGAACTGTGACCTCCTGGTTCATAGATCGACGCTCAACCACAGAGCCATACTGGCTGGGCTTGTCTTCATTCTGAAGGCACGTAAAGTTGACGTCATGTAAACAGGTAAATGACACAGCCACATTGCCAGTGCTTGGGGGGTGTACACTTACATGGAAGCTCTGGAAGTTCATCAATTACATAGGTGCTTTGTCTCTTCCAGGTGGCTTCTGAAGTATGTCTGCCAACAACAGTTCCTGCAAACCTATACTGACACCCTACTTAACCGGGCTCTATGGTGCAGTGCTCATTGGCGGGCTGGTGGGCGTCATCTCCATTTTGTTCCTCCTCGTGAAGATGAACACCCGGTCAGTGACCACCACAGCGGTCGTGAACCTGGTGGTGGTCCACAGTGTCTTCCTGCTGACTGTGCCTTTCCGCCTGACCTACCTCATCAAGCACAAGTGGACATTTGGGTTGCCCTTCTGCAAATTCGTGAGCGCCATGTTGCACATCCACATGTACCTCACATTCCTGTTCTACCTGGTGATCCTGGTCATCAGGTACCTCATCTTCTTCAAGCGCAAGGACAAGGTGGAGTTCTACAGGAAACTGCATGCGGTGGCTGCCAGCGCTGGCCTGTGGCTGCTGGTGATTGTCATTATGGTGCCCCTGATTGCTTCACAGTATGGAAGTCTTGACGTGTATGATACGGACAACTGTTTTAACTTCCACAAAGAGCTTGCTTGGGCGTACGTGCGAGTCATCAACTATTTGATCGTCGCCGTTGTCATAGCCATTGCGCTGATTCTCTTGGTCTTCCAGATCTTCATCATTATGTCGATGGTGCGGAAGCTGCGTCACTCCTTACTGTCCCACCAGGAGTTCTGGGCCCAGTTGAAAAACCTGTTCTTTATAGGAGTCATCATGGTTTGCTTCCTTCCCTACCAGTTGTTTAGGATCTATTACTTGTACACTGTGGCGCTCTCAAATGACTGCAACAACAATATTGCATATTATAATGAAATCTTCTTGAGTGTAACGGCGATTAGCTGCTTTGACTTGCTGCTCTTTGTTCTTGGGGGAAGCCATTGGTTTAAGCAACAGATAATTGACCTATGGAATTACGTCTTTTGCCATTAACCACACAATACAGTGTTCAGGTGTCCTTCCTTTACATCAGGAGTGAAAAAGAGTAGAGGGAGGTAGGAAGGATATTTTATTACTTCATTAAGACCATGCCTTGTGGCAGCCAAATGAAAGGACTTATTCATCCCGGTCCTTATTTAGTCCCTGCCATCTCTAAAGGACGCGCCCATGCTGAGACTCCTGGTGTTCAGTCCACCTGCAGTTGCAACACAGCGTTGTTTTTCAATGCACAGGGTCTCCTTGGCCCATCCAAGCATCCTGGGTGTAATGGTTTCTGAGTTTTTCGAGTTTATTTTAATTTCCTCAGTCTGAAACATGGTCTCTCCTTAAGCTTTGAACTGGACTCAGCCCTGTAGTTGGTTCTTTTCATTCCAGGGAAAACCTTAGGTAAATGAATTCTGGGTGTAAGTCAGCTCCAAAGCCCAAGCTCTGCTTTGTTAACAAGATAAGTTACCCCTTCAGCTCACACCCTGACAAAAGCAGATAAGGTGGGTGGGGGGGGAGGCCAGTAAGAAACTTTTCTGGATTATCATCACTTTGGTAGGAAGTCACTTATCTGGAAATCAAGAGAAACAGAACCCTTGGCCTTCTACTCTAATAAGATTATCCAGAGTTTTCCTTTGAAAGGTCAAGTTTAAGGACTTGGGTCAACTTCCTCAATACCTCCAAAAATAATTTCAGGAATTTACTTAATATATCTAAATAATAGTAAGAGCATAACTTAGATCAACATGCTGCTATGCATTAAAATGAGTTCCCAAGGGAAGTAATTTTTTCCCCTTTTCTGTTTTTGAATAATTTATAGAGGTCTTGGTCCACAGTTAATTTACATTTTCCTTGGAGACAGAAAGCTATGCTGAAATCTTTGAGTTCTCTTCAACCCTTAAAGTTATGGGTCTTTAAATGAATGAAAACAATATTCTTTAGAACTTTTGAGAAATATGTAGAAAAATCATCTAACTATGAGATGCTAAATTAAAACTACGTAAGCTTGTGAGTTTTCTTCCCTCCTGCCCATATTTCTACTATTTCCCTCAAACTTTCATAATCTTGAATCTTCCTAAGGAACAGATCCAGTTTCATATTTAATGCCCAGAAAACCTGAAGCAATTCACGGTAGGAATAGAAGAAATGAATAAATTAGGTCATTTTTCCCCCCAGCGAGATAAATGTCCAGGATTTGAAGATTTTTCTTAATTTGTTATTCTACCTAGATCCATAAATTTATCAGATGAATAAGAAATGCCCATGTGAGTTTCTTTGATCACTAAAATTACTGAGTCATAGAAATTAACTTTGAGGAAGAAAAAGGAGCAACATACTGCATATGCCTTGTTCCCAAATTATTTTCTGGTTTGTTTATGTTTTTTAATCCTCACCTGAGGATATTTTTTCATTGATTTTTAGAGAGAGAGTGGAAGAGAGAGGGAAAGACAGAAATATTGATGTGAACCCGAATTTTAGCTCGCAACTCAAAGCAAAAAAATCGGCCGAGAGACGGCTCGTATCTCAAAAAACTCGTTAGTCGGGACACTCGTAAATCAAGGCCCCACTGTATAGGAAAATCACCCCAAAGAACCAACTGAAGACCAGCTGGAGAAAAGTCTTATAGCCAAGGACTTGGAGAGGAGGACACACTGAAACTGGTAGGAGGTCCGGAGGTACCAGAGGGATGGCAGGGCACGCACAGGCAGCAGCTGAAGTTCTACAAGGATATCTCAGCTGTGCGAGGGTTCCCCTTGAGAAGTGTGGGGTCTAAACCCCAAGCCAGGCTCTCCAGGCAAGAGTGCCAGAACTCGGAAAGAAGCCTACAATAACATCTGGCTGGGAAAAGCAGGAGGTTTCTGTCCCCAGGGAGAGATGGCTAGAAATGCGGGCACCCTCTTAAAGGGCCAAGGCACAAAATTTCATTTGTAGTCACTCATCCTGGGATCAAGTGGAGGGAGGGCCGAGTGGACTAGAGCTGTGTGAGCAGAGTCTGGGGTTGGTGGCACTGGGAAGAGAGCTGAGAGGTCAGCCACCAGGATCCCTCCCTGTGCTGAGTCATTCCCCTGTGCTGCAGAAGCCATCTTTCTCAGGCAAAACATTCCCCTCCATGCAGCATCAGCCTGGGGGGAAGCAATAGCTCCAACAATTGGAAGCGCTCTCACACCACCCTGTGGACCTTCTTACACCATACATAAGAATAGCAAACTCAAAATGGATAAAAGACTTAAATGTTAGACTGGAAACCATAAAAATTTTAGAAGAAAACACAGAAGTAAAATCTCAGACATTCCACTGAATGGGAGAACATATTTGCTGATACATCTGATAAGGGGTTAATATCCAAAGTTTATAAAGAACTCATACAAATCAACACCAACAAACAAACAAACAAACAAAAAACACCAAAATCCAAACAATTCAAATAAAAAATGGGCAGAAGACATGAATAGACATTTCTTCAAAGAGGACATACAGATGGCCAACCGACATGAAAAAAATGGTCAACGTCACTAATCATTAGAGTGATGAAAATTTAACCCACAATGAGATATCACCTCACACCTGTCAGGATGGCTATTATTAATAAGTCAACAACAACAAATGTTGGTGACAACGTGGCGAAAAGGAAACCCTTGTGCACTGTTGGTGGGATTGCAAATTGGTATAGCCACTATGGAAAACAGTGTGAAGGTTCCTTAAAAAATTAAAGATAGAATTACCTTATAACTGAGCAATTTCACTTCTGGGAATATGTCCAAAGAAATCCAAAACACTAATTCAAAAAGATATATGCACCCCCTATATTCATTGCAGCGTATTTATAATAGCCAAGATTTGGAAGCAACCCAAGTGCCCATCAATAGATGACTAGATAAAGGAGCTGTGGACTATTTCTCAGCAATAAAAAGGAATGAAGTTTTACTATTTGCAACAACGTGGATGGAAGTAAAGGGTATGATCTTAAATGAAATAAGTCAGAGGAAGACAAATATGATGTCACTTATATGTGGAACTTAAAAAAATAAAACAAATTCATAGATACAGGGAACAAACTGAGAATTGCTAGATGAGAAGGACTTGGGGGAATGGGTGAAAAAAGATGAAGGGAGTAAGAAGTTACAAAATAGTCACAGGGGTGTAAAGTAGAGCATAGGGAATATAGTCAATAATATTGTAGTAACTATGTATGGTGCCAGGTGGGCACTGGAAATATTTCGGGGGTACACTTTGTAAAGTATATGATTGTCTAACTACTACACTGAACACCTGAAACAAATATAAACTTTTAAAAAAAATTATGGGAATTACACTTTCTTTTATTTTACAAAATTATGTCTTACATAGCATCATAATATCTGTTAGCTTGTAGACTGTACTATAATCCCTTCCATATTTTAAATGTCAAGGTCAGACAATTATGCTTTTCTCTGTATTAGCATATAGATTATAATGAAGGGCCTATTTCTGTGGATCTATAGGAAATGTTATGTTCCACATATCTTATTCAAAAATATTTACAGAATAAACTAAAATTTTTGATTTGCCTGTTCTTTGTCTAATTGTGGTGAAAATGAATCTCATGCAGGAGTGGGGTGACACAGGCCTCCCGGGCCATTTTGGGATATCCTATATAATAAAAGCCTAATATGCAAATCAACTGAATGGCAGAACAACCGGTGGAACAACCAGTCGCTATGATGCGCAGTGATTATCAGGGGCAGATGTTCAATGCAGGAGCTGCCCCCAGCCCGCAGGCCCCAGGCCGGCAAAGGTGAGTACCAGCGGGGGCCCCCTCATTGTCCTGCCAGTCGCCCCACAGATCAGCCTTGATTGCTGGCCATGCCTCGGGAACCTACTCATGCACAAATTTTGTGCACTGGCCCTCTAGAGTGTGTGTGTGTGTGTGTGTATGGTTTAGTGGCGCTCCCCCTGTGGGAGTGCACTGACCACTAGAGGGCAGCTCCTGTATTGAGTGTCTGCCCCCTGGTAGTTAGTGCGTGGCATAGCGACCAGTCGTTCTGGTTGTTCCTTCGTTAGGGGCAATTTGCATATTACTCTTTTATTATATAGGATTAGTTTTATCAAGGTATAAGCTATATGCAGGGAAATTGACCAGTTTTGAGAGTAAGTTCAGTGAGCTTTGACCAATAACTATAAGTGTACCAACATGATATAAAACATCCCATCACCCCGTAAGTTCCCCCATGGCCCTTGGAAGTCTGTATCTTCCTCTGCTACCTGGGCCCTGGACTACATTGATTTTTCTTTTAATCACATTAGTATTGATTTTCTAGAAAAGAAATCATACGCTATGTAGTCTTTTGTGGCTGGCATCTTCTATTTAGTAAAGCGTTTCTCAACTTTTTTATTGCCCCCCCCAACAGTCTTTTTAGACATTTTCCCATAATTGTCCCTCCCCTTTTTATGAAATTTTAATACCATAGATAGGCTGTATGTCTGTTTATGTAGTATATGTACATGTGTGTTTTATACATAAGTAGTAGTTTTTCACACCTCAAGAACAAACTTTTGCCCCCTTGGGGGCGATATTGAGAATACATGATTTAGTAAGATGTTTTTGTCATTCATTGGTATTGTGTATATCAGTAGTTGCTTCATTTAAAAAAAAATGTTTTTATTGATTTCAGAGAGAGGAAGGGAATGGGAGAAAAAGATAGAAACATTAATGATGAAAGAGAACCTTGGATCAGCTGTCTCCCACACGCCCCTACCAGGGACCAAACCTGAAACCCAGGCATGTGCCCTGACTGGGAATTGAGTGTGACCTCCTGGTTCATAGATCAATGCTCAACCACTGAGCAACACCAGTCGGGCATTGGTTCATTTTTATTGCTGGGTCATTTTGGTTGTATGAAGAAACATTCAGGAGATGAGTAAGAATAATTGCAAATGTGTTACGATGGTCAGGTACTAAGTGAATAATGTAATATCCTTCCTCACATTTGTTCCTGGTGCCAATACACAGATCTCTAATCACACATACA